ACGAAATCTGCTATTTCATGTCTTTCCCAACAACTCTGCCTTCTACTTGTGACTTAAAAAGATAAACACTCCTCTTTAGCCATCACGTGCCCATTTGCTTGATGAATTAGAATTGCTCGAAAAATGTTGTTGAATTAAATAAGGATTTTTTTCCAAACATAAGAGAAGAAACCCACAAAAATAACATTACGGGACACCAATTTTTAGATGGAGATGCTGCGTTCATCAAATCGACCAACCTTTAATAATGTAAACATCGTTTGACCAAGGTCCTCCTTCGCCATCGCTGCGACAATAAGTGCTCTGGCCATATTTGTTGAACGTTTTTTCTGCTGAGACACTAGCTGCACACCATCCACCATTCTGAACTGCAAACATGCGAAAGCCCCTTTTGTGAGCTGCGAGGGCACACTTTTCGATCGCGTTTTCACGGTTCAGGTAAGCACCGACCAATAAGGGGTCAGCTCCTTCTAATGTTGGAATTGCATGATTGTTTTTGTCTCTATAACATCCCACTCTTGCGTGATCTGGTGAAGTCGCTGGTGAGACTACCGATAGAAAGGAATGAAATTAGAATTGATCTTCAAAGTCAACAATCTAATTTTAGAAATCGCGGCTGAGCTATACCAGGAAGGTATCTATAAAGGACAGCAGGTTGTTGAGTTGAGTTGAGTGAAGTGTTATCCTAATATGTTTAAAGGACCTCACATTACAAAATCACGTAAAGAGGTTTCTCCAAACCTGTAAACGTTGCAAAAACAAGTGTTTTATAACAAGTATGTACTCATACAGCTGACTTCCAAGCATTGCTTAAAAGGGCAGGTTAAATGAATGAAAGAAATAGATAGAAGAAAAGTGAGACGTAACGGCGCTACTCCGAGAAACACACCAAGGTAAATTATAAAAGAAATTTATCGGTTCCTGAACCAATATCACTTCAGATAAATTTTGCCTATGTAAGACAACAAGCTCCAAACAGAGACATTTATCAAACATGCTTACTGGATTGATTGCATCTTGTTTTTATCTTCATAATTTGATCCACGGACAATGCTTGATCGTAGAACTGCAAGCAGGAAACTTTTCCATAAAATTGCATCTCATGCTTGTTAGACGCTCCTATGGTAAGATTTCCTTGAGTTGCCAATTCCACGTTGGTTCCAATAGACTTGTTCATAATCATGCTCTCATTCACCCACACAGACGCAACGCCAGCGTGAATATCGTACGTGGTCCCCACAAAATTCCACGCGTTTACTTTGATAACACCTTCTATACCTAATATGTGAGTCTTAGAACGATCCCTGACCATATAACGAATTTCAAGTCCAAAGGTCGAAGGAAAATACCCCATCGAGCAACCATAGTCATATATCAGACCAGCACGAGTGCCAGAGGCGTCAGGGCGCACCCATGCAAAAACACTCACCGAAAACCTTGTATCAAGTTCTCCCCCATTTTCAACTTCCACATAGCTGTTATTAAAACCGTTGATAAGAAAGGAGCCAACTGGATCACCAAAGGGACCTGTCGCTAGCATGATGTTATTGGAAACTGCTTCGGTGGCTCCATTTGGACTATGGTCAGCAACTCTATCGCTGCGACGCGTGGAAAAAAGAGCGACGGGCAGGGGGACATCTTGGAAAATAAACAGATTTGCGATATGTGAAAACGTTTTTTCCATCAACTTTCAAATGAATAGAAATTAAAATACGCTGCGTATTTTTTATTTTAGAGGATTGTTGGAAAAGGGTAGTTCAGAAGAATTTCAGCAAACTATAAATCATTTTTTTTTCGATTACGAGAAGTGTACATAGACCAAGCATAGTAAAGGGTTAAGATAAACCAGTTTCTTCATCTATCAGCTACTAAAACACATACCTAACGGTTCTTCGCAAATAAATCCTGTACGGCTCGTGCAGGGTAGATTGTTCCAGCGCCATCCGTATCCAGCCCAGTTTGAACTCCAACCAATTGCATTTAAGAAGGCTCCACACATACCATCACCGCTCGGTTCCGTCGGGCCCCATAGATTTATATTACTCGTTGCATTATCACCATCTATCCAAACCCAACGTAGCTTGCTATCAATTCCAAGGGTAAGACCGCGGTATTCTTGCTTGAGTTGTTTCCGCTGATCTGCAAGGGCCTTTAATTGCTCTGCACTGTTGACTATAGCGATTTCGCTCGTCTGCTTGTGACATAAGTTCCGGGCACACTGCCACTGCTTAGATGATTGGAAATAAAACATGAAACATGATTTTCCTAGTTTGTACCAGCCAGGCAAACATCCAGAAATAGAATGGCTACCTACAAAGAAAATAGCTCATTGGTTGTTCTCTTTTTTATCTGCAGTTTTCCATTCTACTGGTAGTCATTCTGTTTTGACAAAGAAGAAAATTGATTTATCTTATTGCGACAGGTGGTTCATTTCGTTAAGTGAGACACTTTAGAATAACTCCTCGTTTGACTCTTTTTGATAGCAAGTTTTTTTTTTTAAACGAGTGAAATTTTTGTTTTAAAAGTTTCATTTAAATGTCAATGAAAAAGTTCGGAAATAATCAAGTACATAACTCGCCGTTAATTGAATACAGGTCTTCAATCTTATCTTTAATTTTACTCTCTTCCTCTTTCTCTCCCCCCTCCCTTTCTCTTTCCCTCTCGTTTTCCTACGGTGTAGAGAAAAACACTGAGCGCGGAAGAAACTCCTCGCTTCCACTTTAAAGAAATCTGTATCGGGTTTCACTTAATTAGAGTTTTTTGCGTCCTTACCTATTTCACTAACATTGCTGGCATAAAAAGAGAAACCCGTGTTGCTTTTGCAGCAGTCCATAAACCTGTGATCTTCAAGAGTAATCGTAGGCCCAAATCTATCTCTGCTTCTGAAGATAATCTTACTGCAATTCTGTGAAAACTCCTTGTGACTGAGGACAGCAACATCCAAGGGATAGTTATTATAGTTAGAAATATCTAGCTTTGTGTTAACGAAGCTCTTTCCTTTTAATGCTTTGGGGTAGACGAAATAGGGCTTTTCTGTCGGATTTCCTTGTGGATGTGCGTTAGTGAATCGGAATTCATCGGAATACAGATAGTCTTCAGAAGGTCTTGTGGATATTCTAAAATCATTTCCCTTAAGGGAAGACACGTAGAACGTTGCTTTGCCTAAAATGATAAATTTAAAAGGAATCATGGATCAAGTCCTTTATGTTAAAGTCTGCGTTGCAACGATTCTTAGTAAAGTTTTCATAGTTGTGCAAGGAACGCGACAGAGGAATGGCATTTCGGATTCATATCACAACATATATAATTCATCAATGAATGAGGAAAATCTATGGTAAACAAGTCATCAGAAATAAACAACATCACTCTACTCTACATGTATCTAGCAACCGCTATCACAAAATCTCATAGCAAAAAACTAAGAAAAAAAGATTTGCATTGGGCAACCACACTCATTTCCAGTTAATTGGTACCTACTCAGACTCCGGAAATTTCGTACGCTGAAACCAACCTTCGCTCCGACGAAGGGCTAACGCTCGAAACGTCAGCTTTTGTAATCATTACGGTGACCAATTTACCATTTCAACTTTGTTGATATATCCAAATTATTTCGTTACTCCCACCGACGCAGCCCCAAACAGTTTCTTTCGAAACTATCAGCCTTTACCCATTTTAGCAGTTACGTCCATAAAAACAGCGCTGACGTTTGAAAGTGGAAGTAACTCCTAAAAGCTATTATGGAGATACTACTCCACACATTCAAAAATTTATTATACACCGTTATCATGGGCGCAAATAATTTCCTACAAAATCGAAAGAGGATGTTGATTTTGTCGTACTCGATTGCCCACAAGGTCCTTGTTGAAACGTGAAGTCGTCCAGAGCTGCGTCTCCACGATAGCTTGTACCTGTAATACCATCAATGATTATCTAGAAAATGAAATGAAAAAGACTTCCTTGCTATGATGAAATTACGCTTAAACGAGGTGAGAGACAAAGTATGTTATATTTCAAAGCTCTGCCGTTTGCTGAAAATCTTAGAAGTCTCATATTCTTATATCGCTCCCTGAGTTTTAAACCTGGCATGAGGTCATGTAATGCGTGCTTTGACTGATAACTTCCAACGAAATATGTATGTTTCGGAAGATTGCAATAATCAGCAGCGCAATTAAAATGAAAAAAAATCCTAAGAGAACTCACTCTATAGCGTAAATAATAAGTCTGTTCTAGTAAGACATGGTTTGATGCTACAAAAAGGGCCTCTTGTCGCAGCGATCAGATCACCCCAAATAAAGGCACTTGAAAAGGGTGCCGAAACGTTGGGTCGATAAATTGTAACTTCGGTTACAATCATTAAATATTCAAACCAGAGTAGCATCAAAGCATTTCTGATTGTCCCCCTGGTTGCTGTGTGAACTTAAATATAATCCATTCTAGTTGTTGCTACCGTGGGCAGAGGCTATGATTTCAATCGTGACATCCCACCTGATAACTTGAAGTGTCGTTAATGCTAACTTGCCCTTGTTTCCAACCCTTTCCTTGATTCTTCGACTTAAACCAAAGCGGTTGTAACCTGTCTGCAGCCTGTCTTCTAATATACATAACAACACATCCCATGGAAGAGCCATACATATAGTAGTAGAACATCATGCAATGCAGTCCTCGCAACCACGGACTCGTCAGTCTTGCAGTGTCTCCCATCTTTCTGGGTCGCGATGTTTCAATATAAATGTAGTAGCCAGATCCTTTGGAGAGAATAACTAGTATCACATGAAAAAATTCTTCATTTTGAGCACCAAATATGAGGAAAATCTGACATCTTCTGATTTGATTACTTCATTTAAATTTTTTTTTCTGAGCGGGGCACAAATCAACTAATTATATTATTACGAGTTGTATCAAATTTACAATTAAAGTGATTAGCCCCGAATGAGGAATGCCAGTTTTCATAAATACTGATACTTCGTAATACCTGAAGTATGGTCCCTGGTGGGTCCAGTCCTATAGCTTGGTGTCCTGTCCTTTCTCCTTCTCCATGTGAAGATAAAATTTAAATCGCTCCTCCAAAAGCAAAAGTTACGTTCGAAATTACAATTCCCTAAAAATAAAAGATACAAAAGCCGTCATCTTAACAGTTGACAAATAAGAAAATTAATAACTAAAGCTTGGAAATTACGCATTTTATGACATACCATCACGAATTAAGCGATAACAGAAACATCATTAATGGCTCTGTAATAATTTGAACAGAAGCGTGATATAAACCTTGTCCGCTGGTGTTAAAGTCCCTCTCATCATGGCAAAGTCCATCAACTAAGTTGACGTAACAGACGGCTATACGACTTGTGTAGTTTTTGCCAACTGTTGCTTGCAGGACAATCTGTAATAATAATCATGATGATTATTAGTATATCGTTTTTTGTGATGAACCTAAGGCCAGTGAAGTCTAATCTGATTGCTCGAAAAGGTTAACAGTAGGCAAGGTTATTGGTAAAATTTCACACTTGGAGTAAAACTTGACCTACCACGACAAGGGGTGCTACTCCTTATTCTTTTATACTATAGTGACATGTAGGATCTATGCAGATTGCAATGCTTGTACTAATAGAAAAATTGAAAACTACTCAAAGAAAAGTGAACTTCATCTTAATTAATGTTTCATACCATTTCTCTATGTGTACCTGACACTCATCGGAATAACCGATATCGACGCTAGCCTTTATCCACTGACTTCCCTGATCTCCCGACCTTTGCCACATCGAATAATATCCTTGTTGCCCTCGAACTTGAAGCAAGATATCCAGTCTTCCCACATCACGCCCAGACAAGCGATAAGAAAAGCGGAAACATTTTGGTCCTCGAATGAATGGACTCGATAACTGAGCGGCTTGATTTACTTTTTCAGGTTGTAATTCTTCGATGTAAATGTAATTTCCTCCTCCTGACATGGAAAAGAAAGGCGGTAGGCTATGATTTTACCACTATTCGATCACTGCTGGCGTGTGTGGGATGGTTGCGGTAAAGGAAACAAGAACTACCTTGACCGTCTTCTCAAGCGAGCTACGGGAATCACTGTGGGTTGCAAGGCTACCGATAATGATATACAGCAAATATTGAAGTGGCCATCCCCACAACCCCGCAGAGAATATCACAAGTGCATACGGGTCTAAAAATGTATTAATGGCTTGGCTCCAGCTTATCTACTTGACGACTTCCACTCCTCGAAGCAGACCCATAATTATAACGCTAGAAATAAAGACCTTATCCGCCTGCATCTTGCCAAAACAACTAAATTTCAAACATCCTTTAAGTATAATGCCGCCAAATCCTGGAACACTCTTCCTTGTAACCAACACTATGATCAGTCTCTCACTAGTTTTAAGCTAAACGTCAAGAAACATCTAAATGATCTACTCGAATGATTTTTACAGTCTATTATTTACTCACAATCTATTATCTCTTCATAATTTTTCTATAGATCTCCAATTATATTAGCTAATTTAGTAGTTATTCGTATTATTTTGTACAGATCTCCATTTAAACCAGCTACGCTGAACTGGAATTTCTGTATAATTAATGCATATGAATAAACAAATTTATAAATAGACACAGATTTAGAAATAGATAGGAAAAGAACAAATGGTAAAATACTCTAGCTTTCTTCGAATGTGAATTAAAATACTTCACGCGACAAGAATAATTCTTATTTAAGTTGACTTGCAAATTGTCCTCATGAAGGAATAACTGATTCACCAAGTGTATAGATAAAGTCACCAATGCCATTAAAGCTTACATCTTTTACCTACCAGTGTGATCAACGCTCGCTTCAATTTGTTCACTTGAGCTTTTTGATCCTCTTCTCCAGTCGATTTGATCCAAAGGTGCGAAAAGGTTTCGCCATCCACAAAAACTCTCATTGAAGGTGCAGTTCACTGAAATTGAATTATAGTAACTCCAGTTATTATTGTTCAGAACAAGTTACGCCACTTCATACAGAGAAGTAAGAGTTTTTATTTTACTTGAACGTTACGCGTGAAGAAAACGTCTTTTTCCTTAGATCTTTGCCTTGAAAATCTAATTGACTCATTTACGATTGCCACGAGTATTCTCAATGCGAGTTAAAATAACTCTTAAAGACACAATTCAAGCCAAATTGCTTCTTGTTCAGCAACACAAGGGCAGCGTTACCTTTAAACAATTCATATGGAGTAGTGTTACCATCTGAAACACATGTTAGGTTCTCACTGAAATGGAGCTCATCAACTGCAATGCTTGATGTAGAAGTCACACCTGCAACGCCCTCTATTACTACCTGTGAGTATATAAAACGACATGCCAAGGGTTCAGTCATGAATCATAGATCCTTATACGCCTGCAAATTGTACATGCATTTGATTAGAAAACCTCCCGGCCCTTTCTGATGAAGAATAAATAGCGCTCGGGTCTATTTTCCCTAAATTTTTTATGTTGAATGTTTCGACCCCGAGCAAAAACGTCTCACACACAGACACAAACACAAACACAAAGGTGTTATAATGCATCGGATTGCCTTTGCTTGTTAAACTACCTGATAAGTGCCATCGTAGGTTATAGCCACGCAGCCTTTGATCCAATCGCGTGACGAGCGGTTCCCATGACGACTCCATATTCTGGACTCACTCCCATTGACTCTAAGATATACAGATAGAGTCTCAATGGTGCTGCCGTACATGGAGTAGAAAAATGTCAACCGCAGTGGACCATTCAACCACGGGCTATTGAATCTGGCCTTCTCGTTGTACTTCCGAGGAGATGACGTTTGAATGTAGATGTACGAGCCATTTTCTGAGGAAGTGTGCAATACATCCATTTAATTCAATTCAAATAGCTTCCATGTTGCCGTGCGTCTGATCAGTAAAAGATCACAGATTAGGTCAAGATGTGGTAAAACCGAAAAAAAAAAGAGAGGGGGGGAGGCACCCGAAGCGCACATGGATGTGTCTCTGATATTCGTTTTACAATTTGATGTCTTCTGTGATCTATTTTTAAACAGACGTACAGTAAAACGAAACTATTTGTTTTGCCTAATAGGTAAAGTCTATTTACGAGCCAAGTGGCCCATAAGAGCGGCGCTTAACTCCGGTTTCCGTAGGATGAAGCGACTGGGAGTATTTCTACTCCCCCTTGGTGGAAGGGATGCAAGTCCATCACAGGGTTACCCCCCCCCCCCATTAAATTCGTTGATTAAACACCTGGAGGTACTGTGAGAGTAAAGTGCCTTGCCTAAGAACACAACATCCTGGACCACTCGATCCAGAGTCGAGCGCACTAACCAAGTGGCCATCGCGCCTCCCGTTTTTCCTGGTAGAAAAGTTAATAGCTGCTAAATTTATCATTAAGCTTATCATATAATAGTGGATAACTTTATTAGTAAACTGCGCGAATCTTGAACACACATGTAAGGTTTATACTAATCAGGTTATGAAATTTCCCAGCGGATAGCTTTTTTCGATGGCTATATTGCGTAGAAAATTAATTTTCCAATGTACCTGAATAATCAGTGATTGGTCCAGTGTTAGAGCTTGGAGAACTTCCTCGTCCAAGTACCCAATCAAAATGGTCGGTGTATCTTTCATTGGACCAGCAGCAGAACGTTTTCTCATCAAAATTACAGTTTCCTGGAATACGAATAATACCAAAAGAACTTTTGCTTCGTGTGGGAAACGTCTTAGGGCCTTTACCCTGATTTAAAGTTGGCAAAATAGCTTAACAAGTATGTTTCCCTATAAACTTAACTATGGTTTCAGTTGTACAATTTCCAAATAAATTTGTATAAGTTGTATTAAGTATAAAATGTCATGGTAAAACTGCCACCAAATCCTTAATGTCATTTAAGAACCCAAAATACTCCCACAATTGTAAAGTGGTCTTGACTGCTACTCAGAAGGGCAGAAATTAGCATGCTTTTTCAAAGGGTGTTAAGTGGACCCCAACTAGACAATTTTTTCAGGTGATTTATAATGAGTAACCGTTTCTGCCGTCTCTGGCAACCTGTGCCTAGTTTAAAACAACTTTAGCACCTTTTGTGCAGTATCTGAACTGAAGATCCGTCATTGTGAGATATCAGTCAAGCAAGATAGAGAAATAAGAAAACTGAGACACATCATACAAGATGTTTGCTTGTAGAGCAAATGAACGGCTAGCGGTCGAGATTATAAATGTCCGAGACTGATTGACTGCGCGGTTGGCAAGTCTCTCTGGAACTATAGTCACAGAGAGAATCTGTCAAAATAATCCCAATCTCACTGATATATTCAAGAGCCGCTTGGTGGAAAATATTATGGCATACTTCCAACCGTTTATTTAATAGTCGACAACGATGGCACAGTTGCGCTGAAAAGTCAAACAAACACTTTTTCTTCCATCAAATTGATTTTCAATTAATAATCGAACCGGCATGGTATTTAATAATTTTCATTTTGAATTTGTTGTTCAGATTTCAAATTCGCTTAGTTTCCTATCAACTTCCGATACGTTATAACACCGGTTAATACTTAAAATTAACACTTCCTTGTGGGCACTTAAACAAAACATGCTTATGTATTACGTTTGAAAGTGCCGTGATAGACAAAAGAAACTCAGAACATTACGTTTGTTTTTAATAAAGCAGCGTTCAGGGTGAAATTCTTCATTAAAAAGACCTTGACAGCCCTTCGAATCATGTCATTGCAACATTCTTGTGGGCAAATCGTAGCTAAAAACTTTGGATGTAACTGGTTTCTAACTAAGGTAGAAAAGTCGCTCAAACCTCCATGAGGAGTAATTTCCTTTCTCGGCTAGACTAGACCAAACGGCTGGAGATTTCTTTACTGTTGTATCCTTTATTACTTATTGTATGACGTAGATAATAATAATAATGTGACAATTCCTTGCAGGTTGATTTTCTGTGAAACCGAAAAAAAGGTTATCACGGACGGAAAACAAAAGAAGAGCAGTTTCTCAAAACAGTGACAATTCTGCCCTTGGATCATACAGAAGCTTGAATGCTTTTGATTTCTTAATTGACCGCAACAGATAATTTTTGCTAGCTTCCGCCTGGAGTTTTTTACGATCAAGAGATAAAACTTACCGGTAATTTCTTTTGAGGAGCCTCCTGCTTTGAAGGGAAAATCAATGGCAATCATCAGCAAGAGGCTGGCAAATAGCAAATGCTTTCCGTAGATGACTGTAAGCGCCATTCTAGTGAGACACACTCTAGAATAGAAATAATCGTTTTAATTTCGACGCAGTCCTTTGCTAGTAAAGTACTTTTAAAATTTGCATCACGTAAATTAACCGACTTTGGTCGACTTTCGCACCCCGTAAAAAAGATGTAACCGGTGTTTTCGTGACACTAGTTCGCTATAAGGGAAGGAAGTTAAAAAATACAAGCAGGCGGCCACAATAGATCCAATTGTCGCAAGGCACGTTTACAACTAGCTCCCAAACAAGCACAATGTGAAATTTAACTATGAAAGGCCTCCTGATGGCAACTAATTTCATGCATAATCAGTGACACTTTACCTTGACATTTACGCAAAACACCAATGTAAACTGTTTAAACATTTGGAAAAGAACATTATTTCCGCACGAAAGAACAGTGTCAGTTCAGTTTAACACCTGCCCTCCACCCACAAGACGATTCTAAAGAAAACTCTTTAGGAAAAAAGAAAACCGGTTAGAAACCCTAGATACCTGTGGAGATAGTAGCGTTTTAGAGCCTTAATCAAACAAGTGTTATTTAAACAGCTCACAGTTTGTTGCCGTAACGTCAAGAGTTAAAATTAGAATTATTTTTCTCATGTTTAAATTGTGGGATGGATTGTTTGAATTAGAATGAAAGGAGGAGCCCTCTTTACGAAGGAATAAAAACTTAAAGCAATAATCACTAGAGGGAAGATTTTCCAAAACAAGTCACCATAAAGTGGGACTGGTTATGAAGTACACAATGAGCGAATTTTCGAAGATCTTTAACACCTAATCACTCTTTCAAACAAACCACCGCGAAAGAACTTGACATAACAGAAGGGAAGCCTTCATTTTCTATATCGGTCATCGGTGTCAGTTCAAGTAACTGTTTACTTTCCTAACAAAGTTGTTTACAGGTTCTAATACATTATTTATCCTTGACTCTGCATGAATCTGAAATTATCCTAGCTATGAACAATTGAAAAAAATAACAGTAAAAGTTGGGGATATAACTGGCCACAATCACTTCGTAATCCTTCAACTCACCAAGCAGGGACAAGAGCGTGCTTATTGAGAAATAGTTAGGCTAACACTTCGAAAAAGAAAATAAATTTTTTTTTTCTCCCCGTTTGGATAAATCGTACCTCTTTGACATTTTTGTGCATCAACACCGCGCTTTGATGGGAGACGTAATTACCTCCTTCGCAGCCACCCTTTTGAGCGATGGTTTAAGATATACAATACGGTAAAAATTCAAAGCAAGGCAATAGTCATAGTTTGCTACGTTCTGCAGGAGCTTTCCAGCCATTAACCGTACCTTGAACAAGCTCGCAGGACACCACTGAGTCTTAGAATTGCTTAATCTGTGGATGTTTCATGAAATAACAAAATTGTTTAAATGTTCCTTGGGACCCATCACTCTTAAAGGAACTGTTTGAATGTGCCTATGTCCTCTTTTTAAAATACTATGACTCATGCTTTGCCAGAATGAATTCGCAAATACCCATTTTGTAGTATAATACTGTTTGCAAAATTCGTGAAACATGTGGCATTTTGTGTCAGGAAGTTATCAGAATTTTTTCAGTATTTTACCATACTTAAATGAGCAACAAAACTAAATTAATAATTCATTTCCCCCGATAGAAGTTTCTCATATCTAAACAATGTGAATAATAACCAAACACGCACCACCATGAAACACAATTCAAATTAACATTAATTTTTAAAATCTCCAAATTTCAACTTTTCTTTTCGACAAACGTAACTTGTATGGGTGAAACATTTTGTTAAACTTGCTCCATCATGTCTAAAGAACATATTTAGGAAATACCGCTCTCCTGGTCCAAATCATTAAAGAAAAAAAAAATTAGTATTCCTCGAAAGAAAAAAAAAGTTAGAGCTCGCGAATTGCTATATTAGCAGATAATACTTTGTAATACTCTGTGTACGTGTAAGTAGAATATTCTACCTTGGCAAGGAACAAAAGAATTAAACATGGGTCTTTTTCTTTCCTTCTTTTCCAATTTTTTTTTTTCGAAAATCGCGGCGCAATAACTTTCAGAGACTCTGCTATGTTTTCTATGACTCGACAATCAATTTTATTTCGTGGGTCAACCTGCACGCAATATTCACAGGACGAAATCCCACGTTTCCGCGTTTCGTAAATGTGACCGAAACATAGAGCTTCATATTTCCGCTACATTTACGTCTTGCGGAAACGTGTTGTACCAAATCTTGGCGTTTCTATCAAGTTTTCGTCATGTTTCCGGAACGGAAATGCCAAGCAATGTTTCCGTCATATTTAAGCCAGGACGTTTCCGCTGCTGTTTGTTTCCGTCATGTTTCTGCAACGGGTTCTTAATAGCCTTGTTGAATCTTTGCAATGATGGAAAACAAACCGATCATGATTTTGGGCATAATTTTTACCATTTTGACGAAATTTATACGGCAGGAAACTCCACTTAGATATCGATGAAATTGAATAAATAAGGTTTTTCGGAACAACTACCGTGAGAAAGTTTGCAGATGAATTAGTAACTTCAGCTTCCGATACGCGTAATCTGGTAGAATAATTTGAGATAGCTTGGACAACTTGGCCAACTGAGTCATTTGAGGCGGTTGGCCATGGGTGTCTTAACGGGACTGGATAACTGGAACTTGTTGGGTCATTAATTTGCGCTGGTTCGGTTATTTTGAGATTACTCGGTCATTCATTGGCCGCCCGTAACCTAGGGCAAACTTTACCTAAATCCAAGATGGCGAATTTCTCTGAGCCCACCAATGAAGAACTAATATCCTCAGTAAAAAAAGCACTTAAGAATAACAAATCGACATTTCAACAGAGAATTGCGAATGGGAATAAATTTAGGGAGCTAGATATCGAGTTTAATGGACTAAACCATGTTGCTGAGCTAGTTATGAAGGAAAACTTTGGAGGGATTCGAGAGAGACCTGGTTAACTATATCCAATGGTATAGGGTTGGATGATTCGAGCGAAATGTGCCATTGATCACTGGCTTTCTCCTCGAATGAGCAACTGCACCCGTGGATGGTCGTCTTCGATCTCCCTATGACACGACAGGTTTTTAAACTTTTGCGTAAAGAGATTCTTGGACGAACAAGGTATGGTTTGGAGGTAGAGGAGAAATTAAACCACATTCTGTAATAATTACCTTTTTGAGTCTTAGAAGGTTCTACCTTTTTGTTTGACCGATTTGAAGGCTATGAGAGTGGTGTATTTATCAAGTAGCTTGGTGAAGGAAAGGAACAAGTAAAGCTAATTGTTAGCGAAGACAAAACAGGAGTGATGACCTACAATGAAAAAGCTGCAGAGTGTTTGCAAGTGAAATTGACAACTATGGTTATTGGAATTCGTTTGGAACTAGCCAGCAATAAATACAGAAAGTCACTTTTTTATTTTGACAGTAATTATTGAAACTGCTTAACTGTTGTTTTTAATTTATGCAATTAAAATGATTATTACAATTACAACATCTACAAAACTGATGATAATGTAAGGAAAGAGGTATGCATCTTCAATAACATGCATGCTTGTTGAATTTATTTTAAACAAAAAACATTCAGGCTCCTCCCTGGCCATAGCTGAAATTTTTGCTGTTGGATGGAAATGACGTTACCTCTACAAACACAGAGTAAATAAATGGCTCGACACATCAGTCTTACCCAAGCTTTAGACACCACATTTGTAAAATAGATATCAAATATTGTTATTCAATCGAGCAATTCATAGTGATTTAACGTTCATATTACATATAGCCTCTGGATGTTTTGTCTCTCCATTGTTAAGTTCGCCATTTTTGAAAAAAAAACTAAGCAAACAACTATTGAAAGCACTGAAACTGAACTCTATGGCTATGAGCAATAGAAATGGACACAGTGGCCCAGTTGTGAGACAAAATAAATACAAGCGTGGGTAAAATCACTGATATTGATGTTATGCTTTATATTTCTCTTTAGCATCTAGAGTTGAGGAAAATATAACCGAATTATCTGAAACTGTAAACATTGTAACCCAAGGTTTCTCCATGTACCTAATGACAAATACTTCAGGCAGTCCTTTGTGGGCTTTCTCTCCTTAACTGACTTTGACACTTCAGCCATGAATGGATGACCACAATAGTAACACTCTTCATTGCTTTCAGACTTAGGAAAACCACAATAACAGTAATGCTTGGCTTTTTCTCTTGACAATTCACCAAGTGGAAATCGCTGTTCTCTCTTTTTTGCTCTTCGCGCTCCCCATGCACACAGAATAAGCTGTACAGATTAGTCTCGACCCAGAACGCAGAGTATTTCTTGTTTTTAAAACTAAAACTCAAACTTGAGTGCTCCCAATTTTAAGTGTGTTTTCACAAAAACAAAAGATAAACAACAATACTAGGAAACTGTTTCATTGATTGGGTCATTTGATGGTGGGGTCACTAGCCGGATAATTCAGTCTTTGGAAGAGATTGGTGCATTTCCATGGATTGGGTCATTAGAGATGGTTGGTTCACTAGAGATAATTGAGTCATTGGAACGAATTGGTTTATTTGAGACAGTCGGGTCATTTGCGTGGATTGCTTCACTAGAGATGGTGGGGTCACTAGAGATAATTGGTTCATTGGAACAGATTGGTTCATTGGAACAGATTGGTTCATTTGAGACAGTCTGGTCTTTCGCCTGGTCCAATGATCCAATTATCGCTAGTGACCCCACCATCTCTAATGACCCAATCCAGGAAAAAGACCGGACTGTCTCAATTGAACCAATCTGTTCCAATGAGCCAATTATCTGTAGTGACGCCACCATCTCTAATGAAGCAATCCAAGCAAATGACTGGACGGTCTCAAATAAACTAACCTGTTTAATGACCCAATTATCTCTGTAACCTATCAATTATTAATGACCCAGTCAATGGAAGGGATCAGACTATCTCAAATAAACTAACCTGTTTAATGACCCAATTATCTCTGTTACCCCACCACCTCTAATATTGAACCAATCCATGCAAATGAACCGACTGCCTCAAATGAACCGATCTGTTCCAATGACTCAGTTATCTCAAGTGACCTACCATCTCTAATGACCCAATCCATGCGATTGACTGACTGGACTGTCTCAATTGAACCAGTCTGTTCTGATGACCTAAGTATCTCTAATGATCACACCATCTCTAATGAACTAATC